GGCGCGTCAACTTGGAAGGGTAACTTCCTTCTCTAAATTTTACCCCTGCATTTCCCACACAGGGGTGAGTCAAGTTGAAAAGGCAACATCCTTCTCTAAATTCTACCCCTGCGTTGCCCTTGCATGGCCCACAAAAGGGTGGGTCAAGTTGAGGGCCACTTCCTTCTTTAAATTTTACCCCTGCCTTGCCCACAGAAGGGTGAGTCAAGTTGAAATGGCAACATCCTTCTTTAAATTTTACCCCTGCATTGCCCACAAAAGGGTGACAAAGGGGTAGGTCAAGTTGAAATGGCAACCTCCTTTTCTAAATTTTACCCATGCATGGCCCACCAAAGTGTGAGTCAACTTGGGCAACATCCTTCTCTAAGTTTTACCCCTGCATGGCCCACAAAAGGGTGAGTGAAGTTGGAAGGGCCACTTCCTTGTCTAAATTTTCCCACTGCATTGCCCGCATAAAGGGGTGAGTCAAGTTGGAAAGGCGACATCCTTCTCTAAATTTGACCCCTGCATTGCCCACAAAAGAGTAAGTCAAGTTGGAGTGAGCACTTCCTTCTCGGTCGCCGGTCTTCGGCCTGGTCACCGGCCCGGTCACTGGTCCGTCTCCGGTCCGGTCTCCGGCCCGGTCACCGGTCACCGACAAAAAAAGTATATACTCCTTGAAGTTGGCGCGACGTTTGGGCCATCAAGCAATCTTAGGATTTCCTGCAAGAAGCGTTTCAAGGACGGATCGAAGAATGTCAAAGGGTATCTCTTTTGGCGCTGGGCTACGTAGAGACGCGCTGTTGATTTGTAGAATCGCAGAGGACATGTACGGTTACGCCATTAAAATATGTGGAGGGCGGCCCAGGGTTGACCCTCCCGGAGGTAGTGTATAATTCCTATTCTGTCCGTATGTTTGGGGGCGACGGGCGGCTCCGCATATTTAAATGTGCAGTTCCTTCATCATTCACAACAATAAAAAACAGCAGGATCTTGCCGGGCCTTATGTGGGGACCTTGGCTCCGCGCTAGACACCTCTCACAGTTTTTGCCATTGACCCCCCTTCATGTTTAACATCCCTGTGCTTTGAGTGTGGTTGGAGCTTAAAGGAGACTTAGAAGCCGGCCCCCACGGAATTGCGGTGCATTTTGGGAAAAGCCGTTTTGGAAACCAACCATGTAGGGGGGGGGTCCAACCATGTAGGGGGGGGTCCACATAAGAAGTGTCCACGTAAGAAAGTCCACGTAGAGGGATCCACGTAGGGGGGGTCCACATAAGCAGGGTCCATGTAAGAGAGTCCACATTGGGGCTCCACGTAGGGGGTCCACATAAGCAGGGTCCATGTAAGAAAGTCCACGTAGGGGGCTCCACGTAGGGGGGGTCCACATAAGCAGGGTCCACGTAAGAGAGTCCACGTAGGGGCCTCCACATAGAGGGGTCCACGTAAGGGAGTCCACGTGGGGGGGCTCCACGTAGGGGGTCAACAGAAGCAGGGTCCATGTAAGAGAGCCCATGTTGGGGCTCCACTCCACGTAGGGGAGTCCATAAGCAGGGTCCACATAATCCCCACGTAGGGGGCTCCACGCAGGGGGTCCACATAAGCAGCGTCACATAAGACCGGCCAAGGCCTTCACGTGGGACCGGTGAAGGCCTCCACGTGGGACCGGCCAAGGCGGCCAAGGCCTCCACGTGGGACCGGCCATGGCCTCCACGTGGGACCGGCGAAGGCCTCCACGTGGGACCGGTGAAGACCTCCACGTGGGACCGGCCAAGGCCTCCACGTGGGACCGGTGAAGGCCTCCACGCGGGACCGGCCGAGGCCTCCCCGTGGGACTGGTGAAGGCCTCCACATGGGGCCGGCCAAGGCCTCCACGTGGGACCGGCCAACGCCTCCACGTGGGACCGGCCTCCACGTGGGACCGGCCAAGGCATCCACATAGTAGGACTGAAGGCCTCCACCTGGGACCGGCCAAGGCCTCCACGTGGGACCGGCCAAGGCCTTCACGTGGGACTGGTGAAGGCCTCCACGTGGAACAGGCCAAGGCCTCCATGTAAGGCCTCCGCGTGGGACCGGTGAAGACCTCCACATGGGACTGGTGAAGGCCTCACGTGGGACCGGCCAAGGCCTCCACGTGGGACCGGTGAAGGCCTCCACGTGGGACCGGCCAAGGCCTCTACGTGGGGCCGGTGAAGGCCTCCACGCGGGACCGGCCAAGGCCTCCACGTGGGACCGGCCAAGGCCTCCACGTGGGACCAGCCCAGGCCTCCACGTGGTGAAGGCCTCCACGTGGGACCGGTGACGGCTTCCATGTGGGACCGACCAAGGCCTCCACGTGGGACCAGTGAAGGCTTCCACGTGGGACCCGCCAAGGCCTCCACGTGGGACTGGTGAAGGCCTCCACGTGGAACCGGCCAAGGCCTCCACATAGTGGGACTGAAGGCCTCCACGTGGAACCGGCCAAGGCCTCCACATAGTAGGACTGAAGGCCTCCACGTGGAACCGGCCAAGGCCTCCACATAGTAGGACTGAAGGCCTCCACGTAAAACCGGCCAAGGCCTCCACGTGGGACTGGGCAAGGCCTCCACGTGGGACCAAGGCCTCCACATAGGACCGGTGAAGGCCTCCATGTGGGACCGGCCAAGGCCTCCACGTAGGACCGGTGAAGGCCTCCACGTCAAAACCGGCCAAGGCCCGGTGAAGGCCATTTTGTGAAATGATTTAGGAAACGTATTTTTCCGCGTGTTTTTCCGGATGTTTTAATGGCTGGGCGGCCCCAGCAGATCCTTCACGGAGGTACACTAAAATACCTGTTCGGCTATTTTAAAATCCGCATATTTTATTGTAGTAACCGTAAGACAGGCTGGACAAAATGGCATGGTGCACAGCATGGCTCCGGGTCCATTCCTAGTAGAATACACCAAGGACCTGGTGGCAACCACAAGATCTTGATTCTTCTTGCCAAGAGTGGTGTCAGATTTGTAGCATTCTGCAGCAAACCAAGCGCATTGGGTCAAAACTCACGCGTTGAGTGTGTGGTCTTCGCAGCCCGTCAGCGATATTCTACGCATCGGGCGATCCGTTTCGCCGCTACGCCTCGGGTCGCAGAGACGAGAGACGGTCGCATTGGCACGATGAACGGGGCTTTCAGGTTTTAGGCACATATATCCCGTACCCAGACGCTCCATGGGACTGCCATAGGACTGCCGATCAGTTGGGGTGGTGCCAGGGGGTCAATGTAGGCATATATGGCATACATGGAGCGTCTGGGATATAGGTTACGCCTGAAGCATCCTTTGTAACACTGATTTCTGGCGAACCATGGTTTGGAGCACTTATTGGAAGTTTGAGCGTTAATTGAGGGTATGTAAACTTTTCAGGACATATGAGCGCTTTTTGGTGTTGTAAATTTTAAAGTCTACTGGTTCCTGACCAGTGTCCTTATCAACCCTTGTGGGTCTTTGGGGGCCCTATGGACCGGGTGGAAAACCTATATGACCTCTCCTAGTATGTGCAAATGAAACCACAAAGGTTTGGTTCTAACCTTCTGGGCGTGCCTCACAACAATTTTTCCAAAAAGGGTGCCCGCAACTTGGGCGCAAATTCCTGCAACTCTGGCCCAATTGTAAGAAGTGGCGGATGGTTTGTTTACTTAAATCTTATATGTTGATACTGAAGATCAAAGAAAGGGGTTGCTGGCTGCCGCTTCGTAGTGTGTGAACGTGTGTTGTGTGTGCATGGGATGGGTGCCAGCATGTGGCAGGGGAATTGACTTGAAGACCACATAAGGTGGAATGAAGCTACATCCGACTTTCCAGTGGTACGTTTTTTCAAGGCATGAACGCTTTTTTTTGGATGATGTGCAGTTGTTTTTTCTGTCACTTTTGGAGGGTTCAGGCGATGTGGTTTTTTCAATCATGGGGGTGACCACATGCCTAGCCAACCTTGAACTGTCGCGTCGGGTTTTCACCGTCCGGACGCCACGAAAAGCTGGGTGTTTGGAGGGAGACTGGTCGTGAGCAAGCAGTAGACCCAGACACGACCTGCCTGACACTAGTGTCGTATATGTGCTGAGAATAAGGCCGTTGGGGTGGTACTTTTGAGGGGCCAATGGTTCAGCATCTACGGCATGACATGGATTGTTTGGGAGATGGCAGCTGGCATCACCCCCTCGGATTGTTCCCAATCCCGCCAAGAAACGTATCACTCTTTTGGAGGATTGCATCGTCGATGTGGTCTCAGGTTTCAACAGCGCCATTGGCGCTTGCACTGGGCATCTCGCCTGGCAAGAGTTTTGCCATGTCTTGCCCAGCTGGTGAACCGTGCATACTTGCTCATGCTAAGTTGATCTATGTAGTTTGGTATGGGTTATACTAACGGTTTTATAGTAAAGGGATATGAGATATGAGATATGTGGTGTATTTTTTGTGTGTGCCCGGCTTTTGTGTCGGATGGGTTCTCATGATGTTCTATGGGTGGGTAATTTCCTGTTGTGAGTTTGGCCGGTGTTGTCGGCCACCACATTCGTCGCATCACACAACCAAGAGTTAACAATCTCCGATGCGCATTTGCCGACCCTCAACCATCCAACGGGAGAAGTGCCTAAGGAGGCATTGGCCTTGGTCTTTGCTTCTCCTCGGCACGCAGCGCGCGGCATGCTTGGCGCGCAGTTTGGACTGCAGTGTGGCTATGGAAGGCCCACACCTCAGGAGGGTGCTCTTTGGCAATCACTGGAGGCACCAACCTTCGAAGGTCCTTTTGCCTCAAAACTGATCCCTAGCGCCCCAAGTGCCTTCGTTTCGAAGGTGGGACTGAGGTGGGTGCCAGGGTCGGGTCCAGTCATACCGAACCTGAGGAGGTAACCTCCTGGAGCTGTAGATCTGATGAAGCAAGAACTTGATGACCTGTTTGCCTTCATTTCGCACATGCCGCCCTCTACGATGCGGATCAGTGGCGTCTGCTCTCGCATGGGGGGTCATAAGTGTGTGTCAATGTCCAACAGAGGTTTTCAAGAACCCTCGCTCGATTATCCCAGTTGGGTACCCCAGGTTATGGGTCCTTTTTCAGGTCACTTGTATAACCTTTGTTGGGTTATACTAGGTGAACTCCGGCGCAGCCAATCAAACTTTGAGGCCGTATTTGGGCTACGCCTGGCTGCAGGGCCCTGGCACCGGATGCACAACCGTGCTGTTGGATTGTTCGCCCTAGAACCGTCTCTGCCACGCCATTCGCGTGCGCCATGGGAAGGCCTTGCGCAAGCTCATTCCTGGCAGATGAGCCTCCAGCTGCTGGCAGCCTGGTCAGAGGCTGTTTGATCGGTAGAATCGAGCCGTCGTCTCATTGCTAGGGAAGTTTTCATGGCTCGCCGTCGGGTAGAACGATGAGTTCGCCCAAACCAGCATGTGAGGACACGATACAGGATGATGGACGCTATAGTTGGTGCATGTGGCTCTTGGGTGATTGAACCTCTTACAGTCATGGCCGAGTCTATCGGAAAGTTCCACGCAAACGCCGAAGCATTTTGTAGATGCATCATTCATACACATTCAAACCGTTTTCCTTTATCCTGATTCTGGTGATGCAATTCTATTTATGTCTACCTTGTGAAATCAGCAGACCTACCAGCGAAGCAAGCTCTATTGGGGCAAACCGCCCTGGTGTTTCTTCTCGGCTGACCCCGACGTCAGACGGACTGGACATCTGGGACCTGATTCGATCGCCTGTTCCAAGACCGAGAAGAAACACCATAGCATAGCATAGCTGGGGATTCATGAAAGTTCCAAGATGGCAAAGGTTGGGATGCATAGCTGATTTGATCGCCGCTGATGGGATTTTTCTGTGATTGGAGCATGGCTTGACTGGCCCAGCCTTGGTTGATTTATTGGAAGGGGAAGACTGCCAGGTCGTGAACAAGCAGTATACCCAGACACGACCTGCCTGACTGGGACTATAGTGTCGTATATGTGCTGAGAATACGGCCGGTGGTTTTGAGCGGCCAATGGTGCAGCACACTCCATGGCACTGTCATATTTGCCCACACTGGGGTGCTTTGAGGGGCCATTGTAGGCATGGCAGTCCCATGGAGTGGGTATGGCAGTCCCATTGCTCGTGTTTAGATTCTTCGCTGCAAGAGGTGAACCTGAAGATCCTTTGTGCGTGAACGCCTTTGCCAGTCATTTTATAGAGAGATTGGTCGATCGGAGCGAGGCGGCTCCGCTACGCTGAGCCCCCTTCGTGTCGGCGGTTCCTGTCCGAGAAGTTCGCACGGTCGTCCGAGAGAATCCTTCCCTCTGCCAGGCATTCTATAGACACGAGCATCTCTCGACTCAAATGCTCCGCACACGAATTTCTGGAAACCTGCAAAAACTGGAGGAAAACGTTTGAACCTGAAAATGTGGAAACCTCTGTCCCATGGACCGGACCAGCTCGCTGCAGGATGTGACGTTGACCATGCTTTCGTTGGGCGCCGACGCCTGCGCGGTTTCCGCGCAGCACGGGTCGACCGCGGAGCTGCTGGGGCGCATGGAGCCAGACCTTCAGCGCATCCTGCGAATGATCCGCTGAACAGCTGATCAGCGCAGGTTTTATGTGTCATGTCGTTTTACATTATATATATATATAATTAGACTTGCTTGGCAGTGCTGGATCATAGCTAAGAGCTGAAACACATGGCATTTTGCCTCCTGAGAGTTCACATGCTCATGTAAGTGGTTTGCCCCAATTCAGCTCACCGAGAACGCCTATAGGAAAGTATTGTCACACTGTCACACTTGACTTGTACCAGGAGCTTCTAAGTGACCACTTTGGAGGCTGTAAGTGACCTTTTACCGGCCTAAATGACCTCATCCTGGGATATCAAAAGGTCCCTGAAGGTCTTGGTAAGTATTATTTTTGGATGTTTTGGCGGATATTTTTTTGGGGTAGCCTGTTGTTGGCAACCATCATCCACGAAGATTGAGTGGTGACATGCAGTCGATTGACAAATCAGCGATGTCCTCTCCTATTGAGTGAACCTGCCCAACAGAAAAAGGAACAGGCACATCTCCTAAATCTGACAAATTGCATACATTCTGAATTCTGACAATCGGCAAAATTGGGGAATCAACCATATCTTCCACTCGTTTCACTTAATGTTTGTAATAGGGCGATTCCAGGTGTATTTTTCGTTGCCAATCGTTTGGAAAAAGACACCGGCATTATCGTTTTGCTGAAGCTGTGGGAATTGTCATTGGGATGTCGTGATTGGACTTCTCATCGGAAGATGAGGTCGCCGTTTGAGGATCTACAGGAGACCGTGCAGATCATATAGTTATTTAAAGTTTTCACACTTCCTCTTCGAAGAATCACGGTATGACACAAACATGTTGAACGATGAGCTGTTCATAGCTGTTGGGTGCCTTTGACCCTGCCTCGTTCCCTCAATATGTATTGACACATCATCATGTTGCTGAATGAGATGCTCATAGATTCTCCATAACTTGGGTCCATCATCTGGGATTCGATGACGTAGATATACGATGATATAGATGATCGATTCATAGACCCCCCCGAACATGAAGCGGTTTGACATGGCTTTTACACTCGACGCTGGGCGAGGGTTAGCCACACCCCGGACCCTAAAACTTCTACTACGCCGTGGGCGTCCTGACCATTTTGGGCGTCCTCGGAGAAAAAAACACAAAAACATAAGATCCATCCCCCAGGCATCCAAGTACCTTCTCAGAAGGTGATGTGTTTGACACTGTTATGCAGGTTTGAAGGGTCCAAGTACCTGCTGAGGTTCAGTAAGAATGAAATCCCTAGGGATCAGGGTCCATGTAGGTTGTCTCCTCCAGCTGGGCCGAGCTTCCGAGTGCTTCCAGCGGAAGGAAACACGCGCCAGGTTCGAGCGGTGGCCAGCGGACGTGTGGTGAACGGCTTCCTGGGAAGTGATTGGGCCACGAGCTGAGGCG